ACCAAGTCATGACCAAGACCAGTGTGTATTGAGACTGAGACAAGACCAAGACTTTGAGGGGTTTGAGACCAAGTCAAGACCAAGACCAGACCAGTCCCACACTACGTGGCACATACAAACAACAAATAAAGATTCCTTTTATGTAGTCAGATTTCATTATTGAGGATTTGACTGCCATTTCCTCCCAGACAACCACAACTTCTTCTTTTGTCTCCTGTGTTCATTCTCTTGGAGTGCATGTGAAGGGAAAATTCTAATTAGAAATGAGTCAAGTTATTGTTTGCATTTGAAGCGTGAAGTTTTACATCCAATCACAGTAACGCCGTTAACAAATAAATCAGACAATGCACAGGCAGATTGTTATTCTAATGAACTTCTGGTTAACTTTAAGTGTTGTCTTTTTTAACAGAAACTTCCCAGCAAATTCAAGAAGTTCTACGGGGAATTTGAAAACTTCATGGTAAGTTGACAGTACTCATTTCGTTCGTCAAAGCCTCTCCATCTTGAAATCAGAGTGTTTTCTGTCCAACACCAGCAATTCTTGCACTGTCAGCTAGTCAAGTGTGGGTTTAGCTGCATCATCCTCTGCTGGCGCCGTGATGGATTTGTTTCACACAGTGACGGCAGATCTCAGAACAGTGTGATTGTTTCCACAGGACCCGTCCAGGAACCACCGGGCGTACCGACTGACAGTTGCCAAGCTGGAGCCTCCCATCATTCCCTTCATGCCGCTGCTGATCAAAGGTCAGTGTCATTCACTTAATGGCTGTTTATTTTTAATGTAACGTCATTTTACGACACAGTTGTTCTGTTGTAGCATTGCTTCTCCAACAGATTTAATCATCTCAACAATTGGTCTCTTCTAGACATGACATTCACTCATGAGGGCAACAAGACGTTTATCGACTATTTGGTCAATTTTGAGAAAATGGTGAGGCTCTGAAGGTGCAGGTTATTGTTTAGATGGTGTAGTTTTTTTTAGCCACTCAGTTACTTGATGATATCTGTCGCTGATTATAGCTCTCTGTCTTCCAGCGGATGATCGCTAACACGGTGAAGATAGTGAGATACTGTAGGAGCCAACCGTTCAGTAAGTGTGCATCCCACATGAAATATCAAATGGTTAGATAACAAACAATACAATTAAAGGTACTGAATGTAACTTTTTACATATTGAGCATAGTGTTAGTTCAGGCAGGACATGATGTCAAGCTCATGCCAGCTACATCAGCTGATCTCAAACAGCCCAATCAACTGATGGAGCAGCTGATTGATGCAAGGGAGTCAGCTGATGGATCACATGATTCCTTTCTATGCAACCAACTGGCGAATCTCATTCAGGGCGCCCTATTTAAGCTGCTCTGGCCGCCTACTGTTGCAACTTCCTCTGCAAGCCACTTTGCAACCTGCCTCCACCCCAGCTCCTCCTTTTCATGCTGTGTCTGAGTTATCAATGTCATTTCTGTTTGTCATTGATGTTGCTCTGTTCTGTTCCCGAGGGTCTTTGCTGCTGCTCTCCCTGCCTTAGGCTTTCTGTGTAGGCGCATGGAAGGGCAGAGAGGTGTGCTCTCTCTGCCTTAGGCTTTCCTTGTATACGCATGGAAGGGCAGAGAGGTGTGCTCTCTCTGCCTCAGGCTTTCCTTGTATACACATGGAAGGGCAGAGAGGTGTGCTCTCTCTGCCTTAGGCTTTCCATATAGGCGCATGGAAGAGGCTTTCTGCGTAGGCCCAAGGGAAGGCAGAGGGGCCCCAGAACAGAGCCATACCGCCAAATATAATACTGCAAATGGAAATTACCTTTTCTTTGACTAAAGTGTTCCTGACTGAAATATTGATTGGTTTTAATTATCAGTGGGTAGCCTAAAAACTGAGACCTTCCCTGACTTTTTCGGTCGCCTATAACAGCCTGTGGATTGACTTCTGTGTAAAGGACATGATAAACCTTAAGCAAGAAATCCCTTTCTGACGGGAAGCCCTCAAGGCAAACTTCTCCCAACAGCGTGGGAGAAATAGGATTGCATTTTATTTTCCAGTATTCTGTCAACAGGATGCTGGTCAATCACTCTCAGTCCTGTTAGTCACTACTGGGGCTGATGCAGGTGCTCCCTTACAGCTATGGAGGGTGCTAACTGCAGTCCATGTAGCAGCGTCAGAGGTGTTCCTAAAATCAAGTTAAATACAGAACCTTTAAATTAAATTCGAGTTCTCTGATAACGAGTTCTCTGCATTTTAACATTTTTACTCTTCCTTGTCATTAAATCAGGTCCAGACTCACCTCTAGCCAGCAAAAACCACCCAGAAATTCGGACTTACGTACGTCAGCTCAATGTGATCGACAACCAAAGGACGCTAACTCAACTCTCTCATGGACTTGAGCCCCGCAGGTCTTGAAACCACTCAGGGACAGAAATGTTACACTCTGATGCTGCTTCACTACATGACATATGCTTACATTGGGATGAATTTACTCCAACACAGGCAATCATGTGGAGGACCTAATGACGTATCAGATAATGAGATATTGTTTGAGATGCCTGACTTGTTAAGCCTTTTATTACTGTAATTTGTGATACTTTAACAACAGTAATTGTTGGCGGGTGAAGTACCTCTCATATCACTGTGCTGCACCATCATCTCCAAGACAAACAAGAACCACAATTGAAGGAATTAACAATCTTTGGGGGGGATCTCATTCATCAGATTAACATTTCAGATGTAAACACTATGTGATGCTTTAAAACTGCAAAGTCTTGATATTCCTGATATTCAGTTGTTTCGTATCTTTTGTATCAAACAATATTTATACATATTTAAGTTTGTGAGAATCCTATGTGTTGTAAACTGTACACAAATATTTATTTTGACATCAGCATGCAAAGAGTTACTATGATTGTTTGCCTTTTTATTCATGTGAGCACATTTCTCTTTACGGTAAATGTCTGAAAACCTTTTGTGTGCTGAAAGTATTAAATATTTTAGACGTTTTTGTGTCACATTTTCATTATTGTTCTGTTTGGCTGTTTCATTAGTATATTTTTTTACAAACATAACATGTTAAGATAGTAAAACAGTTGTAGTTTGTTGTTTTGTTTCCTAAACAAAAGGTTCTGTTTCCAAACATCTCAGACTGACTTGTTAAGTTACTGTATGAGCCAGTTTCATTCAGGTTTGTCAGAGCACAATATTTGAGGCAAGAGAAGGAGAGAAACCTCCAAGCATAAGTTGTACTACTCAGGATTTCCTGGACTCAGCTTTTAAGGAACTTAATTATAGTTATTAAAACAATAGGGAAGTCTAATTCTCATCCCAATTTTTGACTATAGTCATTCAGTGCATTCAATCTTGGCAATACCACAGTGTAAAAATACTCCATTACAAGTAGAAGTCCCACATTTAAAATCTTAGTTAAGTAAAAGTACATAAGATTTAGCATCAAAAGACACTTAAAGTACCAAAAAAAGTCCACAAGAAAAGCACTGGAGCACTCAGATCACTTGTGATGAATTTATTTGTGACTAACGTTTTGACGCCAACTGCGTCTTCATCAGAGTCAAAAACTTTTTTTTGACTCTGATGAAGACGCAGTTGGCGTGATTTTGATCTATATTGTCCTGGTCTGAGAAGCACCGACCTCCAATTGCGGAAGGGCTGAAGCGCAAGAGATTCCCTCTACCAAAAAAAAGTATCCACCAAGCAGAACAGCCGATTTCACTCACTGGAATAACCAGGGGTGTAGCACCAAAGTTTGGGCCCTATGCATAAGCAGTCTCTATTGGCCCTTAGTTCCTTCTGTCTTGATTCATATTTTTCTTTTTCTTTTTTCTTCTAACAAAGTCAGTTTGCTTTCTTTATATTTCCTATGTTTCTTTTCATTTTTGAAACCCTGATTTCTCTTTCTTGGGTAAAGACATGACAGTGTACGCTGGTGCCCCAGCTGCATAAGCAGTCTCTCACTTGGCTTTCACTGCATTAAGAGATAATCCCATCTATGCCTTTCAGGGGTGAGAGGGGCCTCAGAAAGCTTCCACTTTTTATATATAAATATAATATATAATAGTATAGTATAAAATATAAAATAATTAAATATATGTATATTTATATATGTATATTGTTTTAATATAGTATCTATATTTAAATAATAATATACAGTAATAATTATTATAATAATATAAACAAGATAATAAAATAATTATTATAAATGAAATAATAATATAAATAAGCAAATATGAATAAGCTTTATAAATAATTTAAAATATAATAAATTTAATATATTTTCCTTGGGTAGCTGAAAGGAAGTTAACAGTGACCAATGCTGTTCTCGTAGGAACAACATTAGTATCATGATGATAATAATGATTATAATAATAATATATGTAACATAATATATAATAATACGTATACAATACAAAAGAATTAAATAATATTTACATTTGCATAATATGTATATTTATTATATTTATATAATCTTTATATTTAAATAATAATAATATGAAATAATAATGATGATATAAAATAATAATTATAAATGAAATAATAATATAAATAATATTTATAAACAATATAAAATATATTGTATTTTCCTTGGGTAGCTGACAGGAAGTTAACAGTGACCAATGCTGTTGCCGTAGCAACAGAATATTTCAGCGGGACTGACTGGTCCGCGGACCGCACTGGAAACACCACCGTCCCAGGACTGTGTCTTAAAAACACACACACTGTAGGAACCTGGAGTGTGTCCCGTTTGGTCCGGCGGGGGGAGCTGTTGCCATCGGGATAGTGACTGTAAAGGAGTCCACTCCAGTTCATGCTGTCTGCTGCTGCTGGGAGAAGTTGTGCAACCAGTAAAACAACCGCGGAGAGAGTGGAGACGTAAAAAAAAACGTCACACGAGATTTCCCGGAACTCTGAACTTCTCCGGGTTTCTCACTGAACGGTTGTAGGAGCTGCTCTGAAGACGGAAACTTCACCCTTAATGTCGGTATGTATGTTTACAGACGTCAGAGAGGAAGAGTTAGACACAGTATTTCAGATGGTAGCTTACAGGCATCCATGTGAATAATAGTATGATGGTCGGCATGTTAATGTACAGTACACATGTTATATGTTATATTGGGGCTGTGGAGTGTGAAACGTAAAGCAGTGTAAATCATGGGCTAAGATAAGATAACAAATACAGTCATTATAATACTGAAAGTGATAGCAATGCATGTTAATTACCACTTTCTCAGTTGTTGATACAGCAAACTATGCCCTTGGGGTTTTCATTGTGACATCTTTTTAAAGTCATGTAATGTTAGCAATGCAAATTACCCTAGTAATCTAAGCCACACAGAGCCTGATCAATATCTAACCATGCACTCTAACATCATTGATTACTATTTATGGCAGTGTTACTAACATCTGGATGTGTCTGTGGTTAAATGTCACCACACTGCGGACTGTCACCCTACTATCTACCAGCTCTGTGTGATTTATTTTTCATTTAGTTTTGATTACATTAACAACCTGTGGTTTGACATATGGCTATCAGGCCGTCATTGTTTCAGTGTTTGCTATTAGGTGAGAACTGGCAGGAAGGAGAGCAGGAGTGCTCCCATATCCCAGTAACCCTGGCTTCTTGAGTGGACGGACAATGCTGTGGGCTGGTCCACTGAGCAGATTGCTGTGAGGCTAAGTATAGCATGAATACAAGTATATCAGTAGAAAGCAATGGGCCCCCCCTTTGTGACAATGGAGGCATTTCCCGCTGGGACAGAAAGCAATCCCAATGAAGACCCAGGTAACAGCCTTTTAAAAGCCGTAATTGCTCAGCTTGAAATGGGAAACCTATGAACAATACCAGAGCTACAATTTCCTGTAATGATGGAATTATGTCTTTTACAAGATGCTTTTATGCTGTTACAGACAAACAAAAGGATGTGATAATCAATCTGTGTGGACTCCAGTTTGGGAGCATTACGTTTCTAACCCTGGTTTACACAAATAACGCATGTACGGTCTGAGAGAATATGAGGTTTTCTCTTTGTTTTTGTCTTGAAACAGTCAGAGACAGTCGTTTTTTTTTTGCTCCCTTTGCTTCTGGCCTTACTTGTACCGAACACAGTAGACTGTGCTGGAATAGTGTGTGACTTTGGCTGCACGATCACAACATACCAGGCATGCCATCGTCCTTATACAAGCAGAGTCTGGACCCTGAGCTCATTGCTTACTGGTACTGATGATGAAGAGAGTGTTGTGGAGCAAAGAGATGACAGAGATAAACCCGGGGATATCACACTGATACATGCGGAATAATCCGCAGTGGCCCACGTTGGATTGTCGTCTAACCTTCTCACTCCCCAATGGGCTGTTTCAGTGTAAACTATTCTTTGAAGCATCTTGAACAGCAGGAGTACGTTTGTTTTACTCTACAGGACTTTGTTGAGTGAACCAGACTTCCTTCCTTCCCTGTGACCCCCCTCCTCAGAAGCAGACTTGGTGCTGAGTGTCAGTATGAGATGTCGCCTCCAAGTGCCTCTTTCGTGCAAATCAAGTTCGATGACATCCTCTTCTACGAGAACTGTGGCGGCGGCAGCTTCGGGAGTGTGTACCGAGCCAGGTGGATCTCCCAGGACAAAGAGGTGGCGGTGAAGAAACTGCTGAAGATTGAAAACGAGGTAGGAGTCATAATTGCCTGGGCTTTTCATATACTTTTTAATTGTCAGCATAGTAATCATTTTAATTGCTACCCCATTTAGCGGGATGTGGTGACTTCTGTACCCCTCACTCATGGTCATTATACACTCCCACTCACGAAAGACACAGTATTGCCAAATGAAAGAATGTATTTGGCCCAATTACAGCGGTTCTTGAGATCTCTTTGAAAGCTCGGGCTCATTGTCTTACAGACAAAAAAAAGAATTATCTTTGAAATCTTTTCAGGGAAATTGCATTACATCTGTTGGCCCGTGATAGGATGTTCAGAAAGTGATTTATGGTTTCTTTTATGAAATTGTAAAAGATCACAGATATCCATTCAACTTCACTCAAGTGTTGGAGAGATGATTGTTCACTGAAAATAATAATGTAATCCTTTCACATTGAACCAATTGTTCATTTAATTACAGTGTTTGGCTACAATTAAATGAATTGGTTTTGTCAGGTTTCTCTTCATCCTAGGAGTGGTTTCACCGTGATCTTCCTGGGCTAGTATGTTATAGTAATTTGTTACGCAGCTTTGTTGAATATTCGATTCTGATTGGTAATTACAGCATTATATGGTCTGGTATTTCTAAAGAGCAGACCGTTGCTATGAATAACAGACAGTCCACTACTTTGGTCTCGATCAGGGGTAGGCAACCTGCAGCTCTGGAACCATATGCCCCACTCCAGTGGCTCTCTGTGCCTTTGACAAAACTTATTACATGAATCTTTTTTTTTTTTTTATTTATCATTGTTATTGGCCTAAAGAAATTCTTACCTGCATCATATGTCACAGCTTGGCGCCTTTTCCTCTAAATTTCGCCAAACCTCAACAGTGGTGGCTGGTCTTGAGCCTCGCTAACTAGTCTAGCAATGGATTCCATATCCATAAAAGTAAAAGTCTCAGAGGAAAATACAGAATTGAACAGTGCATGGACAGATTTGTTTGCTTTCACTGCCAACGCTGCAATCTTCAACTATCAAATAATCATATATAGCCCACTGCAGAGGAGCCATCTTGTAGTAAAACATATTTTTGAATGCTCATTTAGACCTATTCTTTATATTGATAGGTTAATTTAGACTTAATACCTAGTCTTACCATAAGGCTTTAAATATGTTGTGTGGCTCCATGTTTTATAGATTGCCATGAAATTTTCTACAGATGGTTCCAGGTGGATGACGATTACTGACTTTGGTGATCCCCTGGATTTTTCCTCTACCGCCATCATGAGGTTGACATATGTGTTTTTTGGACTGTACTTGACTCAATTATGGCAGTCAAATTGGATTTGGCTGTTCAATTGAAATATTTGACTATTCATTCCCTTTTTCCACAGAGAGTTCTAGAGTTTGAGCAGGGTTCTCTGGGATGTTGAGGGTGACAGCAACATTTATATGGTAAACAAGCCAAGTTAGCCCTCCGAGGGAATGTGTGCTACCTACATTAACAAAGGATTGTAAATGTGCAACAACATTTTTTTGCTGAAATTCGTATTGTATGAAGTTGCTGTGAGCTGTAAATTCACCATGTCTAAGCAGAAGGCACAAGATAACATTATCTCATAGCCTGACAGGGCAGCTGCCTCCGTCTCACTTAGACTCCCCCTGGGTCTGGGTCTGCAGCTGCCTGTACTGGAGAGCAGTGTAAAAAGCGATGAGCAGCTAAAGCTGGGGAACCGAAACAGTCTCAGAAGTACACTGCACACTGACTGACAAAAACAAAAAATGACTGCTCAATTCAAAGAGTTTCAGTAGACTGAGGGGTCTCAGACTCATCATTCAAATCTCCAACTATCAGCCAGTCCTTGGGTTTTTTACTGAAATGTCTCAATAACTATTGGAAAGATTGCCACAACATTTGGTACAAACATTCATGATCCCCGGAGACCAATACTTTAACCATTCATCCAGTACCATCACCATGTCTGAATTTCATTAATTTTTTCAGTACTTTGGTTTGTGACCAAATGCCTGCAAAAGTAATGACACTGACTTTCAGTCAGCACCCTGTAGCAACTCAGATTCAGCCAGGCGAACCCCATCGTCTGGGGTTCAGATCCTAGACTGCTTGACTCCCTGCCAGATCAGCAAACTTTCTGTTGCTGCTGTTACACAGGTGTGACCCAGACCTTAATCTGGAGTTTGCACTGGCTAAATTCCAGTTGTTACAGCCACTATGGAGGTCAGTCTTCAGAGCTGCGGCTTGCTCTTCTCCCTCTAAAGTAGTCTCCTAGGCGGGGAGTGAGGCGGAGGGACTGCATGGTGCACTAGCTAGCTAGCTGAGCTCATTTATCTTGTCTTATTTGTGTTCGGTTAGAGAGAGAGCAGGAGGGGCTGAGGGAATCAATTTGTTGCACGAAACTCTACAATGAAATAAAATGTATCCATTTTAAATACTAAAAAATAGAAAGGTCACCACAAATAAAAATAAATCAATGTATGGGAAACACTGCACTGATATGATGATGTTCAGACATTTGCATAGTAATCTGTTATCATTAAAAAGTCCTGTTTTCTTCTCGTGTGTTCATTGTTTAGGCTGAAATCCTCAGTGTCCTCAGCCACCGGAACATCATCCAGTTTTATGGTGCAATCGTTGAGGCTCCTAATTATGGAATCGTCACCGGTAAGATGTTTTTCTAAAGCCTTCATATTTTCACCCTGTTACGAATACAGTACGTCTCAATGATAACGGTTACACTACAGAGCTAGTGGGCTATTACGATAGAAAATGCAGCAGCTGAATCTGTTTGCATCAGTTGCAGTTTGCTCAACACTGAATGGTGCAGAGGTTTCTATGGAAGCATTAGTCAATGCCAGAGGGTTCAGGAAGTGCACACATTGATACAGTAGTGGTGTGCCCCTGTTTTTGTGTGTGTGTATTTAGGGTGGAGGCTGAGAAGAATAAAGCTCATGTAGCAAGGGGCCCTCGGTGTCACTGCACAAACTTTCACTTTACTGTGGATGTATCATTTAAGTTTTGTAGCATTTTAAACCCTCTTCTGCTGCTGTTTTGTTTCTTCTTGTAATCACAGTGATCTCCCCTCTCTCTTCCGTAATGATAAATCTCTACATTTGGATTTAACCACATCAACTGGGCTCTTTTGTTTTGGAAAGTGTTTCTTAATCGGCCCTTTTATTTTTGCAGTATTGCCTATCATTTTTTATACCCACATACTGGGCACTGTACTGATGATGCCCCAAATTACAGGTTAATGATAATTAACTACACAGGAATATTAGTATATATAATTAGGGCTTTAACTACTACTTTCCAATTATGATTAATCTGTCAGGTTTTTTTGAAGATATGTCAACTGTTAAGTCTATAAGATGTCAGGAAACAGTGGACAGGAGAGCCTTGCTAGCCAAATGGTTGCAGTGCACCCCCCGTAACTGCAGTGTTTGATTTGGCCGGGGACCTTTGTTGCCCCCTTGTTTCTTGCCTTGCTCTTCACTGTTTTCTGACCAGTGAAGGCAAAAATGCCGAAACGATTCTTTAAGAATAAAGAAAGAAAGAAATTAGTGACCAAATGTTCATCACAGTTCCTCAGCACCCAAGGTGACATCTTCAGATTTGTTCAATCTTCAGCAGAAAACCCCAAGATATTCAGTTTACAATGACATTTTGAGCAAATGCACACATTTCAGAAGCTGGAAACAGTAAACGTTTGAAAATCTAGCTTGATAAATGCATTGGAACAATAATGGATGGCAATTGTTTTTTTGTCAATTGACTAATCGAACAATCAACAAATCATTTCAGCACTATGTGTAACTGAGATTTGATTTGCAGTTGCATAAATAAAGAACATTCCCTCCATCTAAAAGCAAAACAAACAAACTCTTAGCCTTCATGTAGACAGGAAGTTGTGTTATAGGCTCACATGTTTACTCACTCTACAGCACAACTTTAGAGTCTCTTGAGGTGGATGAAGAAATACCATTTCTGTTTGCCATTAATAAAAGGTCTTTGTCACATTCAGGAAACCTTGTGACTCACCACAGGTCATATGATTTTAATGCCATGTCCATAGTGATTGCTCGCCTTCCAGGAAAAAGTTAAAAACACAGTCAGGGAAAGTCAAAGCAGCCCTTACTCACATCCTGAACAAGGAGTATCGCCTACCTAATCTTGTGCACTATACACAACATCCCCCATAATAATACATTAGATGACAGACTCTTTTGTCTAAAACACTTTATTCTAAATGCATTCAAACTTCATAGGAACAGCAGCTAGATGTCATCAAAAATCTCAGCCTAAACAAACAAGTGCTGTAGAGATACAGCACAAATAAGTACAAGAGATACAAAGTGTATATAGTATATAAAGTATATAGTGTGCAAGTGAAACTACACGTTTACTGAGAGAATATAGCTTAAAATTTATTTAATTTTAGTTTATTTGTATTAGCTTTCTGGCTAGTTTGGCAGTCGGGCTGAGACTTGGATATAGGAGTGTTAGACAACTTTTCATCAAAGTCAACCAGATCGATTTCCGTTATCTGTTAAGCTGAGCAGCCACCACAGACTCTACAGTTACTTCAGTTGTTCCACTATCTGCCATTTCTGCTACTGGGGTTAGTTACTGCAATTAACCTATTTTGATTCTCTTCAATAACTGGGGATAGCTACCGATATCCTCTTCCTATTTTGGTTACACAATGGTTGACGCACTTCTTTTGTACCTTAAACTGAGCCGTCATTTTCCTGGGAGATCGTACCTGGTGGCAGACAGTATTGCATAGTGAATGTGAGGCTCATAGGGAACAATTCTAAACACCGATGGGGTCAATATTTTGTTGCTGTTACAATGCGCAATCAACATTTACGTACTTTATAATGATAAGTTCAAGCAAAAAATGTCTATTTCCATTTTAAATGAAAGTGCACAAATTATAAGCCCATGGTAAATAAAACAACAGTGGTAAATGAATAAAGAAAACATGTCAAGACAAAGTAGATAAATCTTTTTTTCTGTATTGTCCCATGAAGTGAAATTCGATATGCATACATAGTTAACATTACCACACTTACAAATACAACAACAAGTCTATAAGACACTCATAGATAATAAAAACCATAAACCATTAAAACACTTTAAATAACAAACACAAAACTGGTATCATTTAGATGTGAGGTCCTTTAAACTGTAATTTAATTTGGCAGTGTTCAGTGTTCCTTTATTTTGTGGATTAATTGTTAGAAACACAAACACCAAACCTGTGTTTCAGCTGGCAAAACTACAAATAATGCACACACAGAGTTATGTTTTCTACATTTACAAATTGTCCTCAGTCAAGTGAAAAAGATAAAACACACCATCATAAAAAAAAAACAACAAAATTGTTTTATGCAGTATAACTTTCCTGTCATTCACATCAGGATATATATTATTTTCTACATCACACAAATTAAAAAAAAATCTTCCTGTGTGATGAGGTCATGCATCTTAAGCATGACCTCAGTCATCTCAGGTCAATTCCACAATTTCAATAACCTGAAATATGTCCTTTTATTGAGGAATGGAGAGTTAGAGAAATATTATAAAATATTATAAATTGTAAAATTGTGCAAGGCAGCAACTGCTGCCTTGCACAATTTTACACTGGAACTGATGTTGGCCAACTGCTGACTCAATAGAGTTTCCCATCATACACTCACACAGCTGTATGCCTTCCAGGTGTATATCTTTCTATGCTTTAATTTTTAGCAAACGCAAGGTAACTTACCTGCTGTCAGTTTACATGTGACTTTACACAGATTATGGATTCAATGGTTTTGTATCTCTGCATATTCATATACTCTGTGTATGAGCCAACACAAGTGAAACAGATAAACAGATTTTTCTTAAGAGAAAAAAGTAGATGACTGTCATGTAAAATCATGTTCTCAGTGTCTGCAGCTGCATTAAACTTTATGCAAACCATGCTTTCTATGTAATAGCTGTTTGTAAGAGAACTGTTAAAGGGCAACACCACCTAACTTAGGGATTCCAATATGTTATTTCTATGACCTAAGAAAGTTTAATCAGTATTTGTGAACATGAGCTACTCTCTCTCAAGGACAGAAACTAGAGAAATAAGTCTCAAACTTGTGATATCATAGGGTATAAAGTCTGGAGCTGTGTTTTGTGGACCCACGGAATGTTTTCTTCCCATCCATCCATTTTCAACTGCTTATCTGAAGCTGGGTTGGGGGACAGCAGGTTGAGCAAAGTATTCCAGACGTCCCTCTCCCCAGCAATGCTTTCCAGCTCCTCCTGGGAGGCATTCCCAGGTCAGATGAGATATGTAATCCCTCCAGTGTTTTCTGGGTCTGCCCCGGGGCCTCCTTTCAGTTGGACGTGCCTGGAACACCTCTAACGGGAGGCGCCCAGGAGGCATCTTGATCAGATGCCAGAACCAACTCAACTGACCCCTCTCAATGCAAAGGAGCAGTGGCTCTACTCTGAGGTCCCTCCGGATGTCCGAGTTCCTTACCCTATCTCTAAGGTCGAGACCAACCACCCCTCTGAGGGATCTGCAATTACCGTGCCAAACTGCAGATCCATCTCACGCTCCATTCTACCCTCCGTTGTGAACAAGACTCCGAGATACTTGAACTCCCTTGCTTGGGGCAGTAACTCACTCCCAACCCGTAGGGGGCAATCCACTGTTTTCCGCATTAAACCATGGCCTCATACTTCGAGGTGCAGACTCTCATCCTTGCCGCCTTACACTCTGCTGCAAACTGCCCCAGTGCATGCTGGAAGTCATTGTGTGATGAAGCCAACAGAACCACATCATCTGCAAAAAGCAGAGATGCAATTCTGAGGTCACCAAACCAGACCACTTCCTCCCCTTGGCTGCTTTTTTTTTCTTTTTTATACCCAAATTAACTTTATTCTTTTGTAGTGTTCTCAGTTCTGAAGCAGAAAATGTGCCCATGTACTCAGGACATTCCCCTGCCTGTGCTCAGTGTCATCTGCAATATCTTTACTAATTAATTGTCAATGGAGCAGTTTCAGACTTTATACCCTCTGACATTACAAGCTTCAGCACTGTAGTTTTTGGATTTTGGAGAGAGCTGTTCATGTTTAATAATATTTTTGGACTGTCTCCGACCACAGGAATGACATGTATGAATCTTGGAAATGGGTGTAGCTCCTCTTGAAGTGAAAGCATTTGAAGTTGTGATCACTAAAAATGAAAGTCAGGGCACATGGCAGCTTAGCAGCTGCTGCAGTAGTGAAAGAGTTCAGTTTTGTTGTCAAGGAGCTGGTCGCTTTCTCTGTTTATCAAAGCAGAATCTAATTAGCACCAGATACAGGAAAAATGTTTATGGCCATCCTGTTCATACCATGTGCACATTTATCAGCTCTGTTATAAATTTCCTCTGTCTGTTGACACACAACATCAGACTGGGCAGTTCCGTCTTTCTGTTTGAGAAACCTGTTTATCTCTGTTAACCTGCATGAGTTTAACCAAATCTGCTGTCACTCAGGAACCTTATAAACCTAATGAATGAAGGTTAGTTGTTGTTTTGGGGTACAGGTACGTTTGCTTGTACAATACACTGCAAGGCTGTTGATGTTTTTTACACAAACTGATTCAAACTTGTCTGTGACATTACACTAATAAATGATAGATGATAAAATGGAAGTGCAGTTTACAACGGAGCCACAGGCAGCCATGTCATCCATGGAATGCTGATGAATGTGTTAAAGTACAAAGTGCAGAAGCAGACAGGTCTTCACTTGCACACACTCAGGTGAAGTCAGCTGAGTTGATTTGTATGTCTCCTGTCAGCCAGCTTTTGCTGCAACGCTAATAAAAAAGCCATGCAAAATCTACACTCGTGATAATAAAAAACATTGGTGCATTTTATGATTGTTTATTAGACTCCTGTCGCGGCGCCCGTGCATGTTTACATTACTGTGTTGGATCATGATTGGGTTATTATGCACAAACAGAGGTGCCCTGCTGTTTCAGCTGGTATGATAGTGCTTGTTTATTTTTATTCAAGGGCTTTACCTCACAAGACGTCTGTCTGGATTTAGCAAATATGTTGATTTAGCTGCTCTCAGTATCTTTGTGGTGAATCAAATCTTTAATCTGTATGTTTTGCACAGTTTTGTGAGGGGGTGTTGGAAAAGGCTGCATGGTTGTCAAGACCCTTAAGAAGTGCCCTATTTGAAGTGTATGAAACTTTAGAAAACAGAGCAGAAGGGCTGTTATTTTGTGTTCTAGATATAGCTGATAACATGTGGGCTCCTGAGGGAACAGGATGGCTCATAGCGTTCACTTACACTGTGATAAATTGAGCTCATCCCCAGCGACAGGTCAGTGACAGGAGCAAACTGTAAACAACACATTGTCAGCTGGCTTCCAGCAGGCGTCTGGCAGAATTTCAATTCTCAATTGTTTTCACGTAATGCTCTTACATACTGCACTCACATGTACAATGTAACGCCTCAAGAGAACAGTTTTGTCACTGTAAGACATTTTAGCATCACAAACTGTTAATCTCTCCCAATGATACAAACTCAAACATAATCTATGTCTCCACAGAGTATGCGAGTGGGGGATCACTGTATGATTACCTGTCCAGTGCTGAGAGTGAGGAAATGGACATGGGGCAGATCATGACATGGGCTGCAGAGATCGCCAGAGGTAAATGTGACAATTATTTTTAGTCAGTAAATAACAGCTGAACAATTGTGCCTGTCAATAAAGTGTCTTTGTATAAATTAATTAAGCCTTTACTTTTGCAGGGGTAAGTCATTGAGAGCAACCTCTTGCCTGTTCACAGTTTTACAAAATAACAATAGGTTACACACCTGGTTGATGATGCTAAAATCCAATTTAAGAACAGCAGTTGTAATAAGTAACCGATAAATATGACAAATAAAACAGATAAAATTTGTAGGAAGTACATTTTTAAACTGAAGGAGGATGGCACAGTATTTTTTTTTGGATAGCAAACAGTTGTAATAAAACTGTGTTATGTTCATATTAACTGTCACCAATGTCATTAGTCAGAGGAAATGAAGCCTAGAACAACAGTTTACCACATCCTTCTTCTGTAAAATATTTTCTGTAAAAAAGTTAACCTTGAGTTCAAGCATCTTTGTCTTACCCTTACTTTACAGTATTATGACATTCAAAATAATGTAAATAAATGGAGGGGGGAAAATGACAAAAGCACAAACTTGTTTTATTTTTCATATTTTTGTTTAATGCAAGATTAAAATTAATGGTTTTGGATGCAATTAAAACTGAACTGTAAATTATTATGGACAAGATCAATTGTGTCTACAAACAGAGTGTCTACAAACAAACAGAATAAATAATCATGAACTGATACAACCCAAGGTTATTAATCTAGGCTGTTAAAAATGAGGAGACCCAAGATTGAACCCTGAGGAACACCTGAATATATGTAAAGCATTTTAGTGTTCATATCTTTAGCTACAACACCTTAAAAAGTGTTTGTATCCTGTCATATCCTAAAGTCAGTTTTTATAAGAATCTCAACATATTATAAAACATTTTCAACACTTTTAAACAGAAGCACTTTGTTATTGAATTCAAACCCATGGAGTTGGTGGAGAGGAAGGAAGCAACCAGACATGCCTGCATGGGAAGCTTTACGCTACCCTTACCAAAGACCACTGCGTTAAAGAAAACTGTAATGGATAGAGCCATGTCGATTTGGAATAAACTACCACTGCACTTAACCCAGGTTACTCATAGGATTATTTTTAAAAAGAAAATAAAACAGCAATTATCAAAAAAGACATCCGTTTTACCAGCATATGATGTAATGTTTGTGAGGGTTATGTGTATTTATGACACTCACTTGGGTCAACAACAGTCAAATGTAGCTCATGCAGTTACATATAATTTTGTGAGCCTCAGTTATGGGCTCTATTAGTCGTCACTGCGGTAACGACTATTGGGGATCCTGAATAAAGAATGCTGAAGTGGTACTGCACTGAAGTCTGAAAACCAGATTGTTTTCAGCAGGTTAAATCATACATTTTGGTAAGAGACAGCCATTGCTGTGAAAATATTAAAAATATTTTACAAAGCAAAAAAGTATGATTAAAAAATAGGACACGTACATCCCCAAAGCCCACTGGGTTGGGTTCTGGATCACAAAGTATCAAAAGCGTGAAAAAAGAAAAAAGCGATCCGCACTCCCATATGCAATTTTTTATTTTGCGTGACGTTTCGAGCGTGATGCTCTTCCTCAGACTGCTAAATTAGCAAATAAAAAATTGCATACGGGAGCTCTTGTGGTGTGCGGATCGCTTTTTTCTTTTTTCACGCTTTTTTTACAAAGCAAAAAAAAAAAGTTTGACTTTTTGCTGTGGGATTAAGTCCTGATTTGTTGCAGTCAGTATTGATGCTCACAACCAGTGTTTGTGTGCTTTAGTGTTTGCGGCACTGTAGGTGCACTTTTACACTGAAATATAAATAAACAAGAGTCAAGGAGTCTTGATTTTGCTGATTATTGACTTCCTAATAGTACACATTTCTACGTAAAGCTTGGGCTCTCCCTCAGTGCTCCTCTACACATACAGTATTTCAGACAGGATGAAAGATGCATTATTTTCCACCAGTGTATACAGGAGCTTCCACTGATCTGCTACTGAAAAACATCTCTTTATTTCCACTTTAGGAATGCACTATTTACACTCAGAGGCCCCCGTCAAGGTGATCCACAGAGACCTCAAGTCCAGGAATGGTAACAATTTTGATTTCCATTACTCTCTTTTTGTGTCTAAAACAACATTAATTCCTATATACATGAATGCTTCACATTATTTAAAGTAAATATTGACTTTTATTTTCCCTTTCAGTTGTTTTGGCAGCAGACAAGGTTCTCAAGGTAGGTTTTCACTGTGACTTACACCCTGTAGAGTTTCATCTCAAATACATTTTGCGGAACAGTAAGCCAACTTGAATAAGGTGATTTTTGTCTGGTGTCTCAACTTTTATCTGAAAATTTGAAGGGAATTTGAGCATGAGATACACTGCTGGTATGTTATTTACCTACAGTATGTGGACACAAGAGGGCAGTGACTAACTTAGCATGTTCAAGAAACCACTGACAGTATTACGGGGTGCTTTACTGTACAGTAGGTGCTTCGGTGGATGAGACAAGTAGAAAGGGGATTTAACAAAAACTCATGACAATATATTGTACCTTTTAGAGTTAGTATATTATGGAAAGCTAATCAGGAACTACACATATTTCAAAACCTCTTCTGCATCTACCTGATGTATCATAGAGACACATTTTCTGAAATGAAACAAGAGCATAGTGTGCCAAATTGCAGTGACGAAAATAGCCATTGAGTCCAGGCCTGAATGATGTGATTAGAGTACAGCAGATACCCCCATTTGTAGCATTTGCCAACACCAGCATCAGATGCACACTTACAGATTATTATAGTCACTGTTCTTTTCAGTAGGAAAAATGCACTTCTGGTTTGATTGGTGCATAATATTTACATTTTTCTATAAATGGTGGGCATGGATATGAAATTTTGATTTAGGTGCAATTGTGATGTTAATTCTGTTTTTTTGTTTCTTTCTGTTTTTTTCATCTCAGATCTGTGATTTTGGGGCATCCAAGTTTCTGACCCACACAACACACATGTCCTTGGTGGGCACGTTTCCCTGGATGGCTCCAGAGGTGATCCAGAGCCTGCCTGTGTCTGAGACTTGTGACACTTTCTCCTACGGTGTGGTGAGTGACAAGAAGGACAGGAGGGGAACGCAGCATTATCATATCTCTAAAATAATTTTTAGGTTTCACATACTGTAGATCATTGTTTTGGCACGTATTGCCATTGAAGAGTTCAAGCCAGCAATTGTCTGATTGACGCATAGTGTGTAGGACAGTTTCCCTTTTTCTGACAACTGAAAGTAAGTTCTGTGGACAAATATTCCTAAATGTTGCAACCTGGGAAAAGTGGCAACTGGAGGAAGAAGAGGATGGACATTAGGGAAGATACATAGAGACATGAAAAGCATAGAGAAACTATAAGTAGCCACCTGTTTCAGATGCATCTGAGGGTATATGAACTGAACATATGTAGATATTTTTAATTTAATTATAGTTCTCCTAAATCAGTTAAGAGTCTACTATTTGGCTATCTAAGAAGCAGTTTTGATGGAGTATACTGCCCCCCTTTAGCCCACAAGAAGTTACTTTTAGCTTCTTTATACAAAGTTTCTAAGTTTTGCTTTTTACTTAAAATGTTATGAGTCATGATTTAAAAGTTAAGACTGTTTATCGGACCATTTCTTTGAAGTTTTGTTCATGCTGTTTTGGTTATTCTACAAAAAGTGTCATCAAATCCAGGAAGAAATGTATTCATTATGGCACATTAAGATCACATCCAGAATGGATGATTGAAAATGACAGTGAGACTCACAGCCTGAGACGACCCATTTATAAAATGCGTTTTTGCCTTAAAGGAACAATTCAAGCGACAATAATGCACTTTTATTTCTGTCTGTAGAAAAATCCTATGTAAAATTTAATCAAATACATTCAAAACATTTGTAGAAATTGCACTGAAGTCACTCATTGCATAAAAACACAACAACCGTCAGTCAACCGGTCCTGCTGATATTTTCATTTCTGCATTTCCCTCTCTGCTTAAGTGGACAGTAGAAGTTATTGTGACCTTTGCAGAATCCTCCTGCAAACTTTCTGTCTTTCTTTTTTGGACTCTTTTGTGAAGTTGCGGCTAAAGATTGTTGGAAGTAGTTTCAAAATGGAAACCAGTTCCCTTTAATATGCTTAAAAATTGCAGTTCTTATTATACAAGAGTAAATCACTGATATAAGTTCCAATGAAATAACAAAATTTCTGTTTCCTCTGAAATACAGTACGCAGGATTTTGCAAGCTAAACAGACAATATTTATGATTGCAATGAGCGCTTTTTATGCCAGAGGTACTGCTAAATGATTGCAGACTCACAGTTAGTATGCGGTTTCCCTTCTCAGACACTTCTCTTAGGAGCTGAATTCTATAGTAAAACACATACATGTAATGAGAGGCAGCTGGCAAGTGCAGAAATGCAGAAATGCAGTACACATATACAGTGGAGCTCTTGGGTTTTTGGACAAATGTTACTCCTCTACCTTTTCATGATCTAATTTTTCAAAGATGTTGACGCAGGTTGTTGCTGAATACCACCTGAGAAGCATCTAAATGAACATGGGAGTGCTGTTATTGTGCTTCAGAAATCATGGCAGCCTTTAATCGTTGTTGGAAATCTAAAATTAATATTTTTGTCTATTTTGTATGTTGCATTTTGTCTTCAACAAACACAGAAAAGTGTTTTTGATTACACATGCTGCAGAAACAGATAAAAGCTAATTATCTGCTCAGCAGGATTTATGTGTATTTATACCTTTTTTTCTGGGGCAAAACAGAAGATTTATAGATGTTGTGTACATTGACAGAGCAAACGCATTATGTATGCATATAATTTTCCAGTATTAGAACTTTGTTTATATACTGACCATGGCTCTTGACTTCTGTGACAGGTGCTTTGGGAAATGCTCACCCGTGAGATACCCTTCAAAGGCCTGGAAGGTTTACAAGTGGCCTGGCTCGTGGTGGAGAAAAATGAGGTACTCCAGCATGTAATTATACGTGTATATACTGTATATGTATTATTCTGATACATACAAATGCAGTGTTTTGTCAAGAATTGTTCCTAACTGCATTTTCACATGATTTTACTGTCATTTAAATCTTATGTCACTGCTTGAGGTTAAAGGTGTGATGTACAATGTTGAGGAAATAGTTTGACATTTTGAGAAATATCCTGTTTTGCTTTCTTGCTGAGAGATAGATGATAAGATGGATACCACTTTCATGTCTCCATGGTAAATATGAAGCCACAGCCAGCAGATGTTATCTTAGCTTATCTTGGTTTTAAAGGGAACCTACTCCAATTTTCAAAATCCATATTCCTGTGGTCTAAGACAGTCCAAAAATATTAGTAAACATGAATAACTCTCTCTTAAATCAAAAAATTCAAATGTGTGATGTCATGGAGCATCAAATCTGGAGCTGCGCTATAGACAAAGAATTGAGAAAGATGTTACAGATGACACTGAAAGCACTGAGGGGATTGTTCGTTGCAGTGGTGTGAACTTGCCGGTCTCAGCTCAACTCAAGCCAACTGATGATGTCACCTGCGACTCAGCTTTAGGACATTAGGTACATCTCCTGTTAAGACAGCTAATTGGCTTGTAGCGAAGTCAGCCGGGCGGTTTGCTAGCTTGCTGTGGCATTTTCTGGCAATAGTCCTCTCCCCCCACTGAGCTGGTCTCATATGACGCCCTGACACACCAAACCGACATCAAAAAACTAGTGGCATCACCTCACATTGCCTCAGCTAAAAAGTTGCGCTGAACACGCTGCAAAGACTACAGCCAATGGCCAGCTAGCACGTACACTTTGAGAAAGGAAATAACTCTTTAAACCAACAGGAGGTGGTAGTCTGTGTTCATCATTCAAAAAGGGAAACCGGAAGACTGTCAGGATGGATTCAAGATGCTCGTTAGCCAGTTAGCACATTGACAACACAGCCCGATTTTGAAAGAACAGAGCATATTTACTGTAAAATAATAAAATAAAAATAATCTTATCTAATATGACAAGTTTATTTTGATCTTACATCCTCTTGACTTTAGTTGCTTGTTTGCTTTCATCGCTTCCGGTTCTCTTGTGCACTGAGCTGAACTGTTGTTCCCCTAACTCTCCGCAAGAAAGCGAATAAGCGTGTCTTCCAAAATGTCAAACTATTCCGTTAAATCAGCTCCCCTTCAGCTCATCCTCCATCTGACTGTGTGTTTCAGAGGTTAACCATCCCGAGTGGCTGCCCTGCCAGCTTTGCTGAGCTCATGAGGAACTGCTGGGCAACAGAGCCAAAAGTGAGCGAGCTGATGAATTGCATTAGTATGCAAATTGACAACATATGTATGCTTTTATTGAATCCTACAGAGCAAATGTTTGTGTGTTGATTTAGGAGAGGCCAATGTTCAAGCAGATCCTCTCTACTTTGGAGTCCATGTCTAATGACAGCCAACTTCCTCAACAGTGCAACTCTTTCCTGCACAACAAGGCTGAATGGAGGTAATGTGATCAGCCTTTCTCCCAGGCCCAGTAAATGTATTTATAACTCTCCCTTTTTTCACCAATATACTGCCTCAGCCTAAGGAAATGTGCAACTGTTTTCAAAGAATGATGTGGAAATGTAGCTGATGGGGGCCGTGAAATACAAAAAAGGACTTGAGATCGTGCATATAGATCTTTAATAATTACACTGATAGCTCCATAAAGGCATGAAAACCTCCAAAGAATCATCCATCTGGATATACTTCCTCTCTTTACCCATAAGGCCCTAAAAATAATCACCATCTTTTTCAAGTAGAAGTGTTTAATTGGGTTGTATGAGCAGCTGGAGGTTTGGTGGTGTTCAGCACAGCCTGAGTCTCAGCTGTTACTTTATTCTCTGTCTGCCTCTCTGCGGGGCTTGTCTGTGCTCTGAGGTTTTTTTTCCTCAGAAGTTGTGCTGGTGGTATCATGTCCAGGCAGCCATCTGCAGGTGGAGCAGGTTGGAGTGAATTTCGCTGCTGGAAAACAGAAACTGAGAATGTGTGACACAGAAAAGCGTATTTGTTGTAGCTCAAGAGGTTTGATACTGTCAGCTTAGCTGGCGGAAAGTAAAAGGAGAGGCTTGTGGGTGATCAGAGCAGGAGGTAGCCTCAGCAGAAAGGGCGGAGAGATGGTATGTTGACCTCAGAGCACTCAGAGCACTGTTAGGCGTGATACTATTTTTCTCAGTTAGCTGAATTTACACCACCTAGAAGTTAATGAGGAATAGATAAAGCATATAGTGCAGACTTGTATGGTTAAAGTGCTAACTATAGTGTGAAGGATGTTTGAGAGGGCTCACATCCATATTGGGTGCTCAATATAGTAATATAGTGCTTTGGTACGGTATAACAAGATTAACAGTGTTCAGTCATGCTACTGTAGCTGCACTGTGAGGCTGTACTGTAGACTATAAAGATTGATGATGTGACAACCCTCCAAAGGTGGAGCCAAAATGATCTCGATCGCCTCCTGGTGGCTGGCTGCAGTATAGCTCCTAAGCCCCGCCCCCTCCATTTTAGCAGAAGAGTCACATCAAATAAATAAAATTTCGAACAAAATGTTTCCAAAGATGGTTTCTGCCATTTTAAGTAGTTATTAACACACTGATGTGTGTTTAAATGTTAGATTTTCTGGTAGGTTTGGTTTTATTTAATAATTTAATGCTATTAAAATGGGGTTTGACATCAAGATTGACAGCTGTGCGTGTATCAGTGCTCTCACCATCAGTGGCGCTGCTCACAATTGGCTTTGCGGGTCTATTAGACGCTACTGTGTAGACTCTGGCTCCAAATGACCACACCAGCACAAGACGGCAGTGATGGGAGGAAGTGAAGAGACATGGGTGCTTTGAGCTAAATGCTAACATCAGAATGCTAACTTGCTCACAGTGATCATTTTAACATGCTGATGTTTAGCAGGTATAATGTGGAGCATGTTCACCTTCCAATTTTAGAGTGTTAGCATGCTAACATTTGCTAATTAGCACTAAACGGCCGAGGCGGGTCACCACTTCCTCCCACTGTACAAAAGGCCAAAATATCCCAGGCCCGGGCACTGGCACAGCTGTCAATCATGACATCACACCTTTTTATTAGCCTGGTAAGACCATCCTGATGACGTGAGCTGAACATTCTGTATCAGAGAGCTTAGCAGAATGTTTACGTCATTAGGACAGTCTTACTAGGCTACCTTTTTATACCATCAGATAATTTTTTCACTTTAATACAGTCAATGGTCATAAATTAAAGTATTGGAAAAATTGGCCCTAATTATAGCGCCAGATAAAATGTAAGAGAAGTTATTAAAATTCATTCTTAGGAGGACACGAATAGACAAAAAAAAAAAAAGACGGTTAACATGTGTTGAGCAGTGTGGCAGACAGTTAAACCTCAGTTTTAGTTTCTGACATCACTGGTTTTAATTTTCACACTCTTTGCTGTTCTTATTGTATGTGATGTAAACACCTTCATATAAAAGTTGCCATTTTATCCTCACAGTCATTGTTTCTCGTCAGACCCATTGTCCTAGTACCTACAGACTGCACTGTGCATTGTTTGTACAAAAATCAAATCTCAAGCACTTAAGAGTGTAACAGTCAAAAGCAGCTGATATAATTCAATGGTTGCCATGTCTTACAACCACTAAAATAATGTATTGCGTGATCTAATTGTTTGGCTAAGAAGTAAATATAGACAGAGTCACATTAGTTAAACATCATGTAGAACTTCACAAGCGCCTCCTGTTACACTCTGGATCAGACCAGTTTGGACAAAATAAGAACAGACTTGTCATTTCCTCGACTGTCTTGCAGCTGTCTGGGTAAAATAGTTGAAAAAGAGCTTTAAAAAAAAGGGAATTCTACAATTCATGGGGCGAAGCGAAATGCCAAAACGTTTGTCAGGAAAGTGGGAGGCGAGAGAGCAAATTATTTGGGAAGTTGAGTGTTGAGTGGAAATTGTTTGAAGTGAGGCGCGTCAGGGTGGAGTAACTGGGAGGAGTAACCGGGAGGAGTAAGCATGGGCTTTCCTGCCTGGGCTGCATGTGTTTATGAACAGAAAGTGTGAGAACTAAGTTTTTGTGGGGCTGAAGCTCAGCATGGATTTCCATGACACACTGTGCAGCCCCACCTGCTGGGCAAAACAAACTTCCCTCAACGTGAAGTGAACATGAGACACTGTCCTGTCCTTGGCATACAAAGCTTCAGACACACACTAATCACCTTCTGACTGCAGGGCATCGCTGGTGTTGTTTACAGCTTTATTTGTGTTTTTGTTTTGGTGTGTGTCACGGCTTACTGTCCTAGTGTTCTAACTGTGCTTAATTTCACTATTGTTTACACTGTGTTGTTTAAAGGATAAGGCTGATTATATTTAATATCCAAAGAACAAACAAATCCCAAAGAAAGAAAACAAAACTTAAGCTTACCTCTTAAACCCTGCTGACCTGCCAGTGAGTTACTCATCACAAGAAACTGCTGTGCAGCCAAACCCTCTTGACTTCACTTCAAATCCTAGTGGAAATCCCAAAGTTGCCAAATATTAACATTTATTGGAATGATGCAGCCTTAAAAACCAGTTAACCTCATTGTTAGCATGTTCCTGTGTCAGTGTGGGTTTTCGCCGGGTACTCCGGCTTCCTCCCACAGTCCAAGGACATGCAGGTTAATTGGTGACTCTAAATTGTCCGTAGGTGAATTTGAGTGTGAATGGTTGTCCATCTTTATGTCTCAGCCCTGTGATAATCTGGTAGCTTGTCCCGGGTGTCCCTTCCTCTGGCCCAATGTCAGCTAGGGTAGGCTCCAGCCCCCAGGGGACCCCTAACTGGATAAGCAGTTATGGACATTTAATGAATTAAACCTTAAAGCTAAGTAAGTCAAAATAAGAATGGAAAACTGTATTTTAGGGGTTCAACCAGACCAATGAGCCACCACTATGATACCCTAGGTCCCCCTCCAGCGTCATTTTGGATTGGATGCTCAAGGATGGCGCGTCATTTTACACGTGATACATGCATTGTGTCTTTTAAAAAAGCTTCTGTTTTCATAGGGAATGTACACTGTCGGCTTCTTAAATGCATACAGCTGCTTAAAAAATAAATTCAGAGTGAGGTAAAAAAAAATTTAGGTTCATTTCCTTAGGTACAGGCAACAAATCCACCTGGTTAAGATTAGAAACAAAAACAACATGGCTTGGCTAAATGTAACGTATGCTCCACATGCTAGCACACCACATTGATATTAAAATTTTTGGTTTCACACGGGATACGAACAGCAGTCTCAAAGTATCATAACACAAATCTTTGGTGAATTGTTGACATTGCTCTGTTGCTCCATACCGCAGGTGTGAGATCGAAGCGACACTGGAGAGACTTAAGAAGCTGGAGAGAGACCTGAGCACCAAAGAGCAGGAGCTGAAAGAGCGAGAGCGCCGTCTAAAGATGTGGGAGCGCAAACTCATCGAACAGTCCAACAGCCCGGTGAGTTCTTCATTATCCCCTCTCCACTTTTGGTCCACCTTCACCCTCAGGACAGCCGCCACCAACCATCAAGTGGTCACAGCAGCAGCATCTCACTTTAACACTGCTGTTCAAATGTGTGTTTCCACCATCACACTGGGAGAGGGACAGAATTCCCCTGATCTTCTCCGGGGTGATGTGGAAATGGGAAGGCAGTGAAATGAAAAAAGAAAAGCGTGGAATGAGAAGTAAAGGGGGAAAGCACATTATGAGAACATTATGGGCAGTGTATATTATTGGCAGTACTTCATTTATGTGCAGTGTAGTGCATGGGTGCCCAACAAGGACATTTGCATCATGATGCACAGAGTAAAGCTGCAGTTCTCACTAGCATTCATATTGAATTTTGAGCATTGCAGAACTGCAGTTCACGGCTTTGCTGTTTGTTTTTGTTCCCCTGCATTGTGATTATTTGCATGCAAAAGACACAGCGGATTAAATTCTGGTTTTCCTGGTTTGCACTTTGTGTTTCTGTAAACAAAAGTGGTGTTTTCTCAACACCTTCTGTGACCCAAAGCCACAGTACAGTATAGATAACTTGAACACTTTTGAATTAAGTTCACTGAAATAATTTCTGGTGTTTCATTTCTTTTCCTGTCCTCCCTGTATTCTGTTCTGCTCTGTTAACTTCCCTTTACTGTCTCGTTTTCTTCTTGGGTGGGGGTTGTCTGCTTCTCATATTTACACTTATATTGTGGTTTGCAACTGATTACTCACTTCCTTTTCTGTTCTATCCTCTCTTCTTCTCTTACCCGTGTCCCTCCTCTCTCCACCTGTCTCTGCCTCTCAGCTCTTCTTACCTGTGGCAAAAAAGATAAGTGCTAAGTCGTTCTATCAGTCTAAGACGGAGGAGTCAAACAGTTCACAGATGTCGTGTCAGATCACAACCTCTGGTAATGAGGAGGTGAATCTGCAGTCAATGATGAAAGGCTTTGAAGACGTGTTTTCCTTGGACTTTGGCCGGCCTGTCCTGCACTCAGGCATGCAGGTCAACATGCAGGCCAGGCAGAACTCCTCCGTGTCGAGCAGTGTCAGAGAAGGACACAAAATCAACATGACTCTGGGGATGGGACGCTTCACTTGGTCTGACGACAGTGAATGAAGCTCTCCGACGCTCTGTGTTGCCGCAGCTGCATCTGTCACAAACTGTAATCCCACTTAACGCATTATTGGTGTTGTAGAAGCTCTGTTTGTAATGAATTGCTTGTTAAGTCGTGATTATTTTCATCAATAATCATGACAAACACCGTAAATCATATCTTGGCTTAATGTTTGTTCAATTTATATTCAGAAATAGCTCAAATTGCACAGAAAGATATTACAGAATGTATTTGTAGCCCTCCACCTATGGATATTATGGATGTCATTTACCGTATGCCTAATGTACTAGATGTATAGTGCCATGCTGTGAAGAAAGAGCCACGTGAGCCAGTTGCTTAGAGAAGGCCAGGCTTTTATGATGAAGTGACATTTTGCTGACATTAAGATTGGCCAATTTGTTCTGGATGTGGTGAAGTGCAGTTGTTGAGACGCAGTCTCTTACAAGGAAGAGAAAGTACATGTTTTTTCCTCTGACTGACCCAGGTTCAAAACAGCAGGAGAGGGACTTTGCTGTGTGACTGTCAGCTTCATTCTCTCATTTTACATTTTACTTTTCAAGACAGGCTTCTTTTCTTAGGCCTATGTTTTTTTAATTAAGAAATAATTTATATAAGAAATAGGCTTGGGCGGTATAAAGGTATTACGGTATACCACGGAATTTAAAAATCTCGAGGCTAAGATTTCAACATGGTCAAAAAGACAAATGCTCCCCTTTCTATTAAACTGATACAGAGATACTGTATTGAGGTGATGTATTATAGTGCACAGCACACGCCACCAGAGGTCAGTGTCTACTAGTGGAACAGGCAGCTGGGGGGAGAAAGACGGTGACTGCGAGCGGTGAGGATAACGTTAAAGGACGAGTGAAAAGAAAAATGCCAGGGTGTCCATTAGCTCACCTGGTAGAGAAGGTGTCCCATATACAAAGGCTGTGTCCTTGCTGCAGTGGCCTCAGGCTCATGACATTCCCCCTCTTTCTCCCCCTTCCATGCCAATACTGTCCTATCGATTAAAGGCAAAAAGCCCAAGAAATAAGAAATTAGTATTCAATCATATAACTTTATCTTGAAAAGACGTCTTCCAACTTCAAAAGCAATTTATTGGCTTGATTTTATCCCACGAGTCATCTCCATTCAGCCCAATGCTGTGTCGGTATCCACTGTGGCTAAAAGTTTCATCAGGTACCATAAAAATAAAATACCAAACGCTCTGTGCTGGAAATTCACTGTACTTAAAACTAAAGTATGTCTTTCACAAATTTGACTTGCGCTCCATTCAGAATGGAGCCAGACCCATTTTTGGACCGTGACCCACCAGTTGGGAACTGCTGAGCTACACAATGACATACATGCTGCAATGACTTCTGTCACCAGTAGCTATGGCTGTGCTTTTTTATTGTTAAATAAATTTTAATATGAATATCATCATACACTGTATACCCTGGTGAAATGTCAGGGGTATGAAGGTATGAAAAACTAGATACCGCCCAAGCCTAATAATAACAATAGTTCTATTCTTAAAGACCTCATTCAGAAGTCACAGATTTTTACCAATATAGATTTTTTAATAGAATATTTTCCTTCTGTAGACACATTTTACATCCAGTGACACACCATATTGTCTAACTGAATGTTAGCCTGAAGCCCTGCACTTTACAGTAGAGAAAATCGTATTAGCATTAGTGTTCAGTTAGCTGTTAGGCTTCATCTGGGGGAAGGATATGCTTCCTTGAGCATAGCCCATTAAATTGTCCCCTTCACTTGTTATCATCAGTCAGTCTCATGAGGATGTAATCCTCTGCATTCCTGTGTTGTTGCTTGTTAGCGTCCTGCCATGAGCTAATATTCCTATTCAAACATCGCCTGCACTCCTGCACCATCAAGCCCCACACACACTAGACTAGATATAACAATTAGCACAGGCTCTCACCAATATTTACATTTCCCTGTGTGAATGCCAGACACTTCAGAAACATTCAGCCTACGCACTCATCTCCTGGAGGTTTCACCAGAATCAAACGACCTGCAGCTTCTTGATGTGACTTATTTTCCTTCGCTGTTTTGTCAATAAATGTGTTTCTGTGAACTCTCTGCTTTTCTGTCTCATGAGGATTATGTTATATGACTATTATTATTACTAAACCTTTTATGATAGAACACAGAACAAAGTGTGACTGATACCATTTTAATAAGATTGTGAAATATAATGCTTCACCAGATGTTTGTGTCGAACTGTTTTCTTGTGATTTTAACTTCATGCCACTTTGTAACTCCCTGTATTCATGGTCTGGTTACCCATCATCCACTTAGTCCACATGGGGGCAGAATTGTGTGAACTAAACCCAACTCAGAGTGTTTTTTCCCCTGCAGATTCCTCACACATAAACACAAAAACTCCCCATTTTGATTTGGAGATAGTGCTTTGAGAAAAAAGGCATGGCAGCGCATTTTGTGAAATACAATATGCTGCCTGAAAAGTGATGTTAAGTCACTCCAGTGAGACTTTTGGCAGCGGCAGAGTGTTTCTGAATCTGTTTACTTCCGAACCGCAGCACTGGAGGAGGCGGAAAACGCTGCAGGGCTGAGTGGCTTTATGAGGCGGCGGGGCTGCACTGAAATGTATGGCAGCGACTGTCTATTGAGAGCGGCATTCAGCTCATAATCTGAGCTGTTATCAGATGTCGTGGGAAGAAGACAGTGAATGGGGGATTACTCATTCATTTAGTCATCTTTCCTCCAATTTTCCATTGCATTATTTCTGTCATTACACACCAGTCTCATGATCACAATGATGAAATCTTTATTTTGGCTGGCAAGTTTCTGCCTGATTACATTTAATGAGCAATAAATGATTTATCATTCAAACAGATCACGTTAGATCAGTCAGATGGACATTTCGGTTTGATATAGACCATTAGAGGCAAGTCGTCTTAATCGCACAGCACAATAACCGGAAAAGTAATGGCTTTGCAGACATGGAAAACATGGCTATTTTCCATTTTAATAACATTTACTTAAGTCCTGTAATTTTTACTATAAAATCTGAACACACACGTTTCATACTGTCTGTATCCATCTATATTCTGTTGCTGTTACTTCTATTTGTCTTTTGTCTTTGTGCAGTTGCTGCCAACTCTTGACATCTATACATGGACAGAGGAGCACGTGGTCAGTATCACTGTATTTACCTCATAATGAATATATTAATTTAGATTTTCACATTCAATTAAAACTAATTCATCACCATTTTATTCCCTTAGTATTTCTGGATGCAGCAAATATTTGGCGCAGGTTTGTTCACTCCGACTTTGGCATCTTTATTTGTCTCTCTTTATTTGTTATCTACTTCTACTTATCTGTCTACTGTTTAAAAACTGGGCGTATCCTTCTCTGTCTCAGGGGAGGGCACATGTGGGATGCAGCTGTATGCTGACCTGTTTAAAGAAAATCACATCACAGGAAAGAGGTTGCTTCTGCTCACAGAAAACGACATGCGGGACATGGGGGTCAAGTCCAAAGGTCACGTCATGCACCTCAAGGCAAGGCATCCATTAACCACAACTGTCCTATTTATTTTAATCCATACATAATTTACAGGATGAAATCTATGCTTATTACCTCTGCCAAGGACGTTATGTTTTCGCCGGCGTTGGTCTGTTTGTTTGTCTGCAAAATAACTCAAAAAGTTTTGAACGGATTTTGATGAAATTTTCAGGAAAGGTTGATAATGGGACAAAGAACAGATGATAAAATTTTGGTGGTGATCAGTTGAAGCGAAGTGAATAAAATAATAAAATGGCGGGAAATCCGCACTGCTTGGTGGAGGTCTGCGCTCTCCAAGTGCTTTTCTAGTTGATACTTGGACTTACAGTGAATCTCACGTTTTCTGTCTTGCAGGGTGAAATTGAAAAGCTAACGAATGATTATCTGGGGTTAGTCCACTTCCCACCGCTGCTGAAGGTATTTAAGTTTCTTTTTTATCATCAGGGAAGAGTTGTTTTTTTTTTTATTTCTGTGCATATTTGGTGCTAATACTCCCTTTTCTTCACAGGATGAGCTGGAAAAAGAGGTGGAGAGGAGTAAAACTGTAAATCTGGAGTTGGTGTTTGGGTACCACTGGAAAGCAGGAACTGGGAAATCTGTAAGTTTGTAGTTAAGTACAGTACACACTCACACACACCGACTGTATCAACATTCTGCATCTTTGTGCTTTAGATGTTGTTTTCCATTTGTTCTGTGAGATGCAACCCAAAAAACTGGACAATGGCAAATTAATGAATGTACTTCAATAATTTAAGGCCAAGGACTCCTTAGCTGAAAGAGAGATGGAGCAGGGACCCCCACATATATTGTATAAAACTGAGTTGCACTTGAGACACTTCTCTGAACATTTTTTGGTCTTCTGTCTTTGTGCTTTCCTGTAGCTGCTAAGTCAGCAGCAGTTGTATTCTCCTGCTCGAAAAGTTACAAAAACATCCATAATGGCTCACGAGAATGTCCGTACACTTGGCATAATAATACAGCTAACTGGCCAATACATTTCAGTAGTAGGTAACACTAACGAGTTCACCTCACCGTGCCGCACTGTGATTTAGCATTAGCTAGCGCACGATTACACAAGGATTCATGGGTAACAGTTAGCCTGCCATGTTGTGTACTGTAAATTAAATGGGGTTTTTCGTTTTTGTTTTTTTAAATAAATAGGCTGATTTATCTTTGCTAACGTGTTGGATTCGTGTCCATGTGTATTTTCATACCTATTTACATTTTTTTATACTAAATCAAAACTTAAATTAAGGCTTAAATTAAACTATCAGACAATAATTTGGCAGCCCCCCTGTAAAAACTCTGAGGACCCCCTAGAGGTCGTGGACCTCCTGCTGAAGACCCAGGGTCTAGTGTGTAGGATTAAAATTTCACTTTTTTTTATCAGAAAAACATCTGAAATTTGTTTTGCGTCCCAGGATGTCAACCGTTTCACATAAATACACATAAATCTAAAAATACAAAACAACAAATCATACTACAAACGCTACATATCACATCAGACATTACTAAAAGTAGATGCATTGCAACAAATTAAGCAGTCCTGTTACATTCAGTTTTTGTCGCAGGTACACTGACGCTACTTAGAAGCCACACTCAGATGTAAACGGTTGCCAAAGAGTTCCTCAACCTGTTCAGTCGAGCCTGTGGGACTCTAAATGTAGAGGTGAGGCTGCAGAACTTAAACTGTATGCCAAGCATGTAGGATTACTACGGTGACTGATGCAAAAACACGCATGGCCCTATCTGGAGCCAGCATTTGGTTTGTCCATTCTGGGCTACTGTAGAAATAACATGGCAAACCCCTTGGTAGAGGACCCACTCCATATGTAGATATAAACATCTCATTGTAAGGTAATGAAAACACAACTTATTTTCAAGTGATTATAAACTAGTGAAAACATAGTTATGAATGTGTGTACTATTTCTGCCAATATATGTCCTTTATTCCTACACACTGGACATTTAATTGCTGACTTCTTGCATAAGTCTGGTAATAATTGTTCCTTTGTATATAGATGTACAGAATCATGTTTTTGCCTGATTGAATCAGCCTCCTTGTACTGAAGCTGTTTGTTCTGAGAATTCATGATGACGGCTGTTACATTACACTGACCATTGAAGGCATCACTAGACATGCATAAAACCAGACAAATAAACATTTCATTCTCAGCCATGTACCACATCCACCTCGACTTGCTCGCAGCCCTTTGTTAGGGTCTCAAACTGTGGAGAAAGGGTGGCTCTTCACTTGCTGTTTGAATTTAATCAAAAATAGCCCATTTAGCCAGAAGTCATTTTCTTTTTAAAAGGCAAACGTTATTTAATCTTTCAGCTGTTCATTGTCCCATCATAAATAGTCCTCTTTCAGTGTGTTCGGCAGGGCTGAAACGAGCCTGCTAATTGCCTCCCATTTCTTCTGACATGTGGTGGTTTAGTGGGTAGAAAACACAGCAGGGAGAAGGAAACAGGAGGCTGAGAAAATGAGAGCTAATTATTTTCCCCTGCCTGGTGTCAGGTTCCGTGTCAGCCTTGTTTTTACAAACTGGAAGGTTTTTTGCACTAAATAAAACAAACCCGCACTGCATTTTTTTTCTTCGCCCCTCTTTGCTGGCGATGTCATGGAAGCAGCTGCACTTCTCAAAGACAAAATGAGGGCCTGCGATTGTGCGGCCACCATCTGACAGCCACTGAGGGTCCCCTACTAATGAGGATATCACCGTGCAGCCAAGTGAAAGGTGCTGAATTATGTATGAGTTGTCATTAGACGCACTCGGGTCCTAGGCATCATTACCAGACATTGTTTCTGCTGGAGTGATTAGACTAGCATGGACCTGGGAGCCCCGGTGCGACCGTCCAGCGCCGACACCAGGCCAGCGCGGGGCCACTGGTGTGTTTCTGAGCCAGAGGCTTGCTGAAGCTTCCCCTTTGAGCCGTTTCCAGCCCCTGGGGACGATGCAGGAGAGGGCGAAGGCTCCTCAGACGAGTGTGTTAGTGCCACTCCTCTGATGTCTTTCTCTGTGATCACTACACAATGGATTGGCCTGTGCCATGAACCCAGTGTGGTTAAGCTGTGACCTGTGGCTTCGTGGCCGGCTTTTGGGGATTGGCAGAATCATTACTGCTTCGTCAGCATTCAGTATGCAGAAGAAGAGGGCTGGGGAATTGAGATTTGTGCCTCCTAGTGAGGATTTGATGTGTGCCGCATGCAGCAACTCATGAGGAAAAACCTTCACCCTTATCACCTAAAATCGACTGACGAAACTAATCCTGGATCCTACTGAGAATAATAATATCAAATGTTTGACGAGAATTTACAATGTCTGCATAAAAGTCTTTGCTTTTACTGTTGTTATTTGTTTATATCTCTCTGTTATAGTAATTTTATCAATGTGACAATTCCCTCTGCAGCGTAGAGACATCAGTGTAGCTCTGGTTTCCACTCAGATTAGTTCCCTAAATAAGGTGCATTCGATATAATTTCTCATTTTTAGTCCCCTTGCAATTTATTTACAATATTTTTGTGTTATAATTTCTGTCCTCCCCCACAATGTGAGGCTTTGTGGCCAGTAACTCACCACTACCATCAAACCACCTCTAGGTTGTGCTGTTGGTTTATATACACGAGTAACCAAGTTCTCCACACAGAATACTGCAATTACAAACTTTTCCCTACAATCAAGTGTTTCTGAGTGCACCAGACCAGACGAACACTATCTCACCATTTTTTTGTCTTTCAAGGACTGCAAATGGAAAATGTACATGGAACTTGATGGAGATGACGTCGCAGTAACTTACATCAAAGATGTCATCTTTAACGCCAACAGAAAGGATGTGGAAACCCTGCGGATGACTAAGGTGTCGTCAGAAACACACACGAGCACTCATGTTTTAATCAGTGCTAAATATTGTCTTTGTTGCTGACTTAACTGGCTGCATTTTACCTGTAGGATTGTAGTGTTGTGGTTGCTGTAGTCAGATTTATTGCTTAATAAATTAATGTCATTGCAATGCAGCCACCATTTGTGATGGACAAGTGGATCGTTGGGATACAGCCGAACCAGAAGGTGGACTGCACAATCAATTATGAGGTGAGTCATTTCAGAGGCACCTCACAAAACAAAGCAAATAAATCAGCCATTTGAAATTTGAAATTAAAACATTCATCAATCACAAAAAACCTGTGCAACAAGTATACATATTTTTGACACTTATAATTTTCCTTTTCTTTTGCCTTCACACTTCAGAATGATGTCAAGTCACCAAAGTCTACCAGATACAGCTGTCCAGTGATGTGGAGTAACAGTGGTGGACAAGATGAGATAAAGAACGTGGAGCTGGTCATCGAAACAACACCATCTTACATTGACTGGCACCCCACGGACAAGGCTTACTCTGGTAATTGTTTTATTCATAGTGAGTGTCAAAGCAGCAGTTTTCATTGTTGGACAAATAAAGATTGTTGCTGTTGAATTTCCTCAATTTAATATATCACAATATGTATTTAACAGTATTAAACACAGATGTTCTCCTGTTTTTATTGATGCATGTCCTTCTTTTTTAGACATTGATCCCACATGGATGTACAACGTAAGGCAGAGGCAGGTGATGACCCAGAAATCCCTGCAGACGACTGCACCTCTGACTTCCTTCACTAGCTCTGACGCCCGCACTCTGCCTCAGTTCCTGTCTGCACACGAGAGCCAGGAGTCTTCTTATGCTGCAGCTGTGCGTCGCTCTCCAAACCGTGTCCATGGATCTCCTTGGATTGACTCACGCAGCTCCTCGCCAATCGCCAGCCTGTCGGCCAAACTCTCCCCGCTCCATCTTGGGTCAAAGGGCAGCAGCCCTTCCAGCACTACGTCAGAGAGCGCCTCAGAGAGGGAACGAGATCGCCCACTCAGCGCCGGAGCAGTGCACGACCAACGCAGAAACCGCTACTTTGGCAACACATTAACTGTGGGAGCGGGGCAGGGTAGGGGGCACGCATGGACCAATACTAGAGGTAACTATATTCATAATAAAACTAGCAAAACCTCACGACAGCCAGGGAGGCCACGGTCCAACAGTTACAGTGTCACACCACAGAACCGCCCCTCCATGATACCAGGTATATTGTCTGTGACAGAAAACCCCAGCGAGGAAAAAGAGGGGGGCAAAACCAGCGACGGAGGGTGGATCAAAGTGGAGCGACAGAAAAGATTACCACGTCAAGACAATAAACAAGTCAGAGGTCGGCCGAGGAGAGGGGGCAGGGGAGGGCGAGGCGGCGGTGGAAGAAGCTAATATGGGCCACACATGAACTGACGGCTTCTTAACATGTCACGCGCTGAAGGTTTTACATTTGAATTATGTCTGCTTACATGCTGAAAGATGAATTGATTGTTGTAAGAGAATCACACTGATGCCTTCGATGTATGTATGTATGAACATAAGGTTTTATTTTTTAAAAACTGGCTCCTGTCAGGTTAATATAAATGATTTATAAGTATTATAAAAATGGACAATTCAGCCCCTGTTCATCACTTTCTTCCTTCTTTTAAATAGCAGATTACAATTTATTTATCATCCTGGTTTTTCTCAAGTGAACTAATAAACAGTTATAAACACGCTTATCCATGATGATATATTTATTTCTTCAAATCCATACACTCTGAGTTGCCTTTAAAGTCTGTCTCTATCTATGGAGTATTTTTAGTTGGATAGATAGATAGATAGATAGATAGATAGATAGATAGATAGATAGATAGCCAAACACAACAGTTTGACACAGAGAACATGATTCTGTTCCTATTGTTTGACAGTGGTCATATTAAATAATAGGCCTTTACTGATCCACAGTGGGGAAATTCAGTATTTGCAGCAGCACGAGAACAGGAACAAGTGCAGATAAATACAGTGAGTAAGAAATAAATAATAAAACTATGAGAATAGAAGTAAAAAATTAAACTATACAAGAGTAATTAAAGTAATTAAATGTGATGGTGGTGGGATGTGATTAGTAGCAGCAAAATCAGCAAGGTAAGGCATATATAAACAGCATACACCAGAGTGATGATGTGATTAAGGACACTTAAGTGTTTTAATTAATATAACAGACATACTATAGTATAATGTAGCCTAGAAAAACAGCATATTAACACAGCACAATATATTAGAAGATACAGGATATAGTGTAAGGACATGTACATTTTAAAAACCCAGAAGTGCAAAGTTTCATAGCTCTGGTGGTGTGCCCCACCCCCGCCTTCTTCTTCATGCTTCATACCCACTTCCTGTTTGTCTCACCCTGTTTTTGTCTTTCTCATTTTTTGTTGCCAGCCGTTAGTGCCACCTTTTATCATCAGCCCCTTTTATTCAGCTTTATTAAAATAAATCCTCACATCTACCTGTTTCCTTTGCCAATAAATCTCCCTCCTTGTATTTCTTTATGACCTGTAACCCACATAAAGTTTGACTGAAACATTCATATTTTATGAAGTCTGGACAAAGTTTGATATATTTCATTAATGCTGTCTGCTGTAATGTGAAAGTTGACTGCTGAATTTAAGTCTGGAAACTAAATAGCTCTTTAAAACGTGACCTATTTCATAGCTGCAGAGTTGCTCAACATTTTACCCGCCTTGCATGCAAATTCTCAAATAAAAAATTCGCGCCAAAGCAAAGAACATGGAAGCTCTCATTCCCAACATGCGTCAAAAATGATAAGTTTGTAGAATGTGATTACTTACAAAACGACTGAACACATTTCAAAATTATACTAACGAATTTTGGTTATGAATTTGGTCCTTTTTGTCTACAAATAGTTTATAAATTGGTTAAACTGCGTGACTACATTCTATACATCTTCCAGGACCTTCCGGTGGCGCGGGAAATGAACAGAGTGTGAACAGGCTGCAGCGGCGGGACTCGCATTGTTCACTGCAGAGCTGCAGCGCTGAGAGTTTGTGTGTCTCTGTGTGTGTGCAGCTATTATCACAAGAAAAATGCCCTCCACCCGCTCCAAGGTAAGAAAACATTTTCTTAACTTGCACCACCGTCACAAATACTGTTCAGTGTTATCTTATGATCCTGTCAGGACCACGTTACTACAATTAGGTCACCATTTAAACCCCACATTTCCTCCAAGGGTTAACACTAGTTATTTAATGTATAAAGTTTAACTTGACTGTCTCCAAACATGGTCAAATTAAGGGTTTTAAGTTATAAAATTTGGTGAGATAAGCTATTTAGTTAAATAATGTCACACCGCCCTCCTTTAGTCACTTTAATGAATGTGCAAAAGTTAAAAACTGTAATGTTAGTTTTAATTTGCAATGACTGAAATCCATGTTTGTTAAACTGAAATATGCACGAACCATTTTAAAGTTTCTTAAGTTACATTGTTTTTGGTTAAGTGTGCCAACAGGGGTGTGTCACATAAAGATCTGAAGCTTTTGTCTTAGTCAGTTAATTTCTAATGCAAGTCCATTGATAAAAATAATCAATAATAACACTTTAACTGATTATTTAAGTTATTGTTTATGTAAAAATGAATTTAGCTTTTTCAACATCATTATTTGCTAGTTTAAAATATTATAATAGCCGTGTTAAACTATATTCTTATTGGATTTTGAGCAAAACAACCAATGGAAACATGTTTATTTAGGTTTTCTGGCTCTTTACACACCAAATGATTATTGAGAAACTAATTCATAATGAAAGTAATCCTTATTTGTACCCCCATCGTAACCCATCCGAAGCATGGTCACTTAAAGAAATCAGAATATTAACTTTTTAAATATTGATTCAGAAGTTGGTGCCTGTATTTGTAACACAGCCTCGGGTGTTCATACAGTTCAAAGGTCAATGATATCATTCTCTAAGACTGGTATACTAACAATGAAGTGTGATAAACTTTACAGACACAGACACTTTGCTGTGCACTTTTACAGCTGGTTATAAAAAGACTTGTGTCTTCTAAACGTACCTGTTCTCATTCACAGACACTGGCAGCCCAGCTTCCGTCCACCAGGATGAGTCTGAGGAGCTTCCGCAGCGTCCCTCTGGTCCCCATGGAGTCGTCCTCTTCGTCCTCTGACGACAGCTGTGATAGCTTTGGCTCTGATGGAGGCTTTGCAAATACGGTAATGATTGAAATCTCTAAAAGTCCTCCTTTTCCTATCAAATGGTGTTGAATGTGTGGGCGTCTTTGCAACTCCGTCTGATTGTGTCTGTGTTTCAGAGGAGCGGCTTAAGACAGACGAGGAGGACGCCGGAGAAGCGGAAGGTGTTTCTGGCGTCATCGGAGGATGATACATGCAGCGGGTTTGAGGAGAGCGTCATCAACCGTCAGATGAAAGCAATGGTGAGTTTTTAGGAGAAATACAGTTGCAACATATTTCAGAATTATATCAGGCGCTAGAGAAGTTATCTCTAATCATTAACTGTATTTCTGTTTCAGAAAGTGAACTCTGACTCTCCAAAACGTGGCCGCAAGTCTGCCGTCCTGAAAGTTGCCATGACGTTCCCCACCAAGAAGACGGGCAAGAAGAGGCCTGCATCCGAGCCACTCCCTCAAACTAAAGTGAAGGGCTCTGACTCTGACGAAGAGGAGGAGGAGAACTTCATGAGCAAGAGAGCCTTGAACATTAAGGAGAACAAAGAAATGGTACTTTTATCTCACATTATTACTCACAACATTTGATGCTAAGAGCTGAACTTTGACCAAAACAGCCCCCATTTTTATTGTGTCCTATTAACTCATTCATTTATGACTTATTCTTTCAGCTTGCAAAGCTCATGGCAGAGCTGAACAAAGTGCCTGGACTCTTCCCGAGACGGATGGCGATGTCCACATCCACTACGGTAATTATCTGAATCTGTCGTAGCACGTGTCGCTGCACCAGTAGGGCTGCTACTAACATCTATTTTCATTGTCAACTAATGTGCCAATCATTTTCACGATGGATTGTTTTGTTTTAAACGTCAAAATGTGTGAAAAATGTTCATTGCAGTTTCCCAGACCTCAACATGACATCTTTAAATTGCTTCTTTTGTTCAACAACAGTCCAAAACTCAAAGACTATCATACTTTTAATACACCGTACATCATTAACTTTCATAAATGACAAAGAAAAGCAGCACATTGTTACATTTAAGAAGCTTGAACCAGCAAATGTCTGACATTTTGGCTCGAAAACTCAATAAAGTAGATGAAGATAGTTGGCGATTAACTTGACTTATCGTTGCAGCTCTATTATCAGTGCCCTGTTTTAAAACTATTTGCATTTCTTCAGCCTCGACAGCCACCTCGGCGCTCCATGGGAACTCCAGGATCTCTTAGAAGAAACCCGGAGCGTTTGTCACGACCCCACACGCGCTCCCGCACACTGGTGGACGGACCCCCCAGCCCACCTCCAGAGGAGGAGCCCGAGGACAAGTTCAGCCTGGTTCGCAAAAGCCGCTACTATGAGGAGGACGATGAGCCAGTAAGTGATATCACAGGCAGTCTGCGTGTTCCTATTTTACTTTGCATTATATTCTCTTGATGTACAGTTCAGGCATTAACTGCATTTATTTCCTGCGCAGCCCCGTCGCCGTACCTTCAGTGGCATGAAGGCCATCCCTCACATAGTGCGGCCTGTGGAGGAGATCACGGAGATAGAGCTGGACCGCATCTGCACCAACGTGCGGGAGAAAGTCTACAACAGCTCCACTGTAGGTGCCACGTCCACTGTGAGAACATTTGAGCATTTCCTTATTCCTCTTCGCCTGAGCATAACCATTGTTGTTTTATTTTCAGGGATCCACTTGCCACCAGTGCCGCCAGAAAACAATCGACACCAAAACCAACTGCCGCAATCCAGAGTGTGTCGGGGTGAGGGGCCAGTTCTGCGGCCCCTGTCTCCGTAACCGCTACGGAGAGGAGGTCCGAGACGCTCTGCTGAATCCGGTGAGCACCTAAACGTACAGGATTGTATTCACATTTCATCCCATCTGTGTGTCCCCGACTAACCTGTTAATCATCTTTCCTTGTAGGAGTGGCAGTGCCCGCCGTGCAGAGGGATCTGCAACTGCAGCTTCTGTCGGGCCCGAGAAGGTCGCTGTGCTACGGGAGTGTTGGTGTACCTGGCTAAATATCATGGATATGATAATGTGCACGCCTACCTGAAAAGGTGACAGGAGCATTTCCAAATTAAGTGTTTTGTTGTTTTTCTTTTGAGACTTAAACGTCTGTTTATGACACTGAGCTTTTCTTATTTTCACCACAGTTTGAAAAAGGAGCTCGAACAGAGCAGCAACTGAATAGTGGAGGACGGAGCTGATCCTGGACCTAACTGATGTTCTCTGTGTCCGTTTATACATTCGCACAATCCTTATGTTGTTCATGGCGTTTGAAGCATTTTAACACAATGCTTATTGTTGTTCACTTGTGAAATTTCACTTTTTGAGTGTTGACTGACTTCTCCAGCCTAAAGCTTGTTCTGCTTTTGCTCCCAAACACAATTTCCCTGCACGTTGTAAAGAGCTGAGCCATTTTATTAGACTGGTTGATCATAAGCTAAGGTGGACCAAAAAATATTTCAGGAAAATGTCACAATGTTAAAGTATACGATGCAGGATT